CAATAATGCTATTCCAAAAAAGATATTGTCTTTAAAAATTTCTACCAAGTTGTCAAGCATAGACCCCCCTAGAGACCCCCATTCAAACCTCTATGTAATGAGTTAAGTTAGAAATTTGGTACTACAAGGGACAGTTCATAGGTGTAGGAAAGCTCAGACTTCAAACCATGCAAGTTTTTGTAACCCTTTACCCATCTTCACATACAGTGCCAGCTAATTCACTTTTTGAGAAAAAACTCAAAATCTTTTACTGCCCAAGATTAAACAAAAATTATCAGATTTAAAATTTGCAATTAAGGACAGCTTGATGCCATTAATGTTTATTAAGCATTTCACTACACGATTATTTTCTGTAGGTATATGCTAGGTGTGATATATAGCAATCACCAGTAGCATTGTATTTGCCAATATAAACAGAATGTAACCAACATGCCTTTAATCAGATAATTACATGAATGTTAAAATTGGCTCATGTGTCATGCTTACTGGTTATGATAAATATCTTTTCATATGATCAAAGTTTGTTTAAATGTAAATCTGAAATAATTTAGTTTAGAAATTATAATGATCATCAGAAAAATTACCTAGTGATCATGAAAAATACTTTGCTGTTTTGCCAAATTTCAAGGTTTATCTGCATACATAGGAAGACATTTTTACTTTATAGAAAATGCTTTTCATACATCAATAGCCCTTTGGAATTTATGGCAAACAATCTAGTATGGGCCGTAGATCAACACACCTTGACATCCCTACATGAGGTGTTCAGTTAGAAAAGGGTACAATATGTGACATGAGACAGCATTTCATGTATGTGAAATACTCAGGTTTAATACCATTCCAGTCATATTGTCAAAATAAAAATCTTCGTGGATCAGAAAAGACTCAAAATCACAGGTTATAGTAAACAGCTTCTCATGTGATTACATACATTTTCACAAATTTTGAACAATGTGTAGTATAATTGTCCAATGATTGAATGATCAATGATCATAAACTGAAAAGCCCTAAACATTTGTTTATGATAAAGTAAATAATAGTATGGCGCCTTATGGCTACAGATTTTTTGTCCATTGAAATATATTTGCAGGAATGTAGGATTTCGCTGCCATATAACGGCCACGATTCCCCAAGCACTAAAGAAATCATAGCTAAAAGTCCCTCGGCAACACCAAGTTTAGAAGCATCCATCTACTTACCATACGCCACATCGACATAAATCGCATCACATACTCGCATAAATTGACTTTGATATTTTATATTCATGCATACACTTCAGTTATCCTTTACTTACGATTTTGGATGTAAATTTCTGCTGATAAAACTCAAAACAATGTTGGCTTTCTTTTGAACATCGATGACTGAAATGTCGCTCGCGAGATCGTCTTTGCCAAGCATTTACAATTTATCCATAAATTTTTCACCCTCTTGAAAAAATTCACAGTTTAGACAGCAGCATTCATGTCAGTATATGAATTTGTAAAAGATTTCCATGAATTCCATCTGATTGTAGTTTAGTTTCTATCATGCTTTAGAAAATTACTATGATCAAACATTCAATTCAGACAGTGAGCTTGACTATGTTAGTTTAGTTGGCTATCAGTCGAAATCAGTCAAACCAATCACAGTAAGACAAAAATTTAAACGAACGATTTACACGATAGCTATTGTACTCCCTTTTAGGTCCGGCCACCCCGCTTATCGGTCGAGATTATTCCAGATCGTCCACTGATCTGGCTATTGACCAATGGAATGGCTTAAATAAGCATTCTTGAACTCCGTTATCGGTCGAACCAGTCGAGCCATCCCGCTTATCAGTCAGCCAGTTATAATTCTAGATGTGTTTTTATCTACTGATCTGTTTAGTAAGGTGGTATTTGTATAAGTTTTCATACATAAAACAGAATTTTGACGATGAAATCAAAACGATTACAGAACGAAAATTTAATGATCAAAAAAAATTGTAATTGTAGTTTTGAACTATAAACATATGTCGCGTGACTTATTTGACATACCTTAGATCCGCCCCTGCATTACAGAGCATTTTTGGATAATCCGTGGTCGAGAAGCAGGAAGGAAAATCGTCACGAAATGTGTTGTTTGTCGTAAAGCTGGAGGTCTTCCTTATTGGGAAACGCCTCCTCCAGATCTTCCTGTTGGCAGTGTGTCGGATGATGTACCCTTTCACAAACATAGGTTTGGACTTTGCCGGACCGTTGTTCGTACGAGAGAGTTGCGATAGGAATAATTTGTCGGATAATCCAACAAAGGTGTATATTCTATTGTTTACGTCGGCGTCTACTACAGTCATTCATCCGGAGCTCACTCCTTCATTAAGCGTTCCAGCCTTTCTCCGTGCGTTCCGCAGATACGCTAGTCGACGAGCACTGCCAGCTCTTCTTATATCCGATAATGCTAAGACTTTTCGAGCTGCATGCTTAGAAATTCGCAAGTTATGTCGTTCGAAGGAAGTGTTACGCTATCTTGCAAGCCATCAGATTACATGGCAATTTATCGTCGAAAAGGCCCCTTGGTGAGGAGGCTTCTGGGAACGTTTGATTCAAAGCGTGAAAAGTCCGTTGCAAAAGGTAGTTGGTAGAACCAATCTAACCTACGACGAGTTGCATACTATTGTGGTTGAAATCGAGGGCGTAATAAATGCACGTATGAATGTAACAACTGTACATTCTTAGCTAAATATTGTTTTGTTTTGTTTTTGGTTTTGTTTTGTATGTTGACAACATTTTATTTAGTCAACCCTGGGGAGTTTAAGAAAGATTATTAAAAAAAAATGATAGTTCAGTGCATGAGGAGGTCAGACTAATAATTATAAATGCAAAATAGAAAATAACAACATGACAATCATACGTTAGTGAAATATACATATAGAAAACCAATACATTTTGTTGATTCTGTCCAAAGATTTGTCAGTATATATTTCGAACGATCATAAATATTTCTGAGCTTTTACAAAGGATTGTCAGCTCACGCAACGCTATAGAGTATAAATATTTTGTTTGTCTGCCACGACCAAGCCCTTCGCTCACATGAAAAAGGAGAGATAAGGGGTTCCGACAGTTTTGATGCGAAAGAAAAGATCGTTTGTGCGCTAGTGTGGAGAAACAGTGTTTAGTTTGTTGCCTTTATTTACTGTAAATGAAGTAAATGGTTTGAACCCGGGAGTATCGTTACATGTTTGTAATGTAGATCGTCCAGGTTGGTATAGTACTGAAGTACTGAGAAGGACTGTTTTTGCTGTTATTGACTGACGTTTCGGCAACATTAGCGGTAGTCATCTTCAGAGTCAATTTGGCTAATTTTGTGCTCAAACGAGCGCAACATTTTCATCCGTCGTCATCTAACTTTGTTGGAAGATGTTGTACGTTGTTAAGCCCAACTGGTCAAACGATAACAACATTTTATTGTTTATTAAACATTATGCAATTCGAATAAATATGGCGGCCACTAATTTTGAAATTCATCGATATCACAAATTCGTCGTTGTGCAGCTGCTTTATGTGTAGTAGAAATTCTAGAGGAAAACAAAACAAGTTGGATAAGAGGAAAAATGAGACCATGGATGAAAAAAAGAAGGGAATAGGGCTATTTTACCAACATAATTAAGAAATTAAGAATCGAGGATACTGCAGGATATATTAAAAATGATGCGAATGAGCTATGACGACTTTCAAACGTTATTACGACATATTAGAAAACACATCACGCCGTGTCAGGTCTCTGGTGGTCACAAAGTAATCACAGCTGCGGAAAAATTAACATTAACTATACGTTTTTTACCCACTGGGGAATCATACAGATCATTAAGTTTTCAGTTTCGAATATCAAGATCCAAAGACTTTAATGAGAAGTGGCAGTACCCTCATTGTCTTGGTACCAGTAATGGCAAACATGTAGATGTACAAAATATTAATCCTCACACGGGTTTTAAATGCACATGCAACAGATTTGACTTGGACAAGATTTCGCACCTTCGGGAAACTATTCCGCTGCTCTACCTGTTGAGCTACCGAGCGCACAGGGATTGTAGAATGGTCAAATCTCTTTTAAACTGACCGGGATTTTATGTCAACATGCATCATTTACTGGGCGATTGCCAAAAGCATGAACTATCAAAGTCGCACATTAAAGTGTACATAACCGGTGGCACAAACGATTTATGTTGCCACCAATTGTAGAGGAACCTCATTTTTGTTCTCGCTATATATAGCACGACCTGTTGTTTTTGTCTAGCTTCGCCAATGCTTAGCAATAATATGTTTTATATCCATTACAAAAGTTTCATCCCAATAAATCTTGAATGAATGGTTGATATTTGTTATGACTGTGCTACACTTAGAGCCAGGGGCTATAAGGATGCACGTTCTCTGTCGTCAATAGAAATATCTCATTAGTGTTGTGCAAATTCTGATTCGTATAGATATGGTGCGTGTGTTTGTTCTATGTATTCAAATATAATGTTAATATAAATAAGTTATACACTAATCATTATTGAACACATTGTTACCTACAGCTCTTTTAATGGTAAGAAGCCCTTAATTGCTAGAGAGAAGCAAATTTATAATCGTGAGAAAGTACAAGTTGTACATATAATTAAACCATATCTTATAATTTATGTACTGGGTGTTTACAAATTCAATTGTATGAGAACGGCCCTCCAAACTTACAATAATTCTTCTTTTATCAAAAATGCATCGTTATGTATATCTCTTGGATAGTATAACAAACACAAATATCGAAAGCAACGGTGACGTTTATGTTGACAGCAGAGAACGTCGATTTATAGAGCACATTCAAGTGGGCATACATAGAAATAAAGAATTCCCGAGAATTTAACATCGACTTCTGTCAAACTTTTCCATGGAAAAAAGTGTTTTTTTATACCCGCAACACTCCCTACAAAAATTCACATTTGATTTTATAAATGAAGTTGAAACACTTCATAAAGTTTATAAAGTTTACTGGTCGTGTTGTCAATTTAGGTCTCAGTGATCCGTATTGTCGATTTAAACTCGGCAACGAAAAGCACAAAAGTAAGGCCTGCAAAGATACTCTCAATCCGCAATGGAAAGAACACTTTGATCTCAAATTTTTCGTTGACACTGACATGATTTTGGAAGTGAGCATTTACGACCGCGATATCAGAAAAGACGAATTTATGGGAAGGTAGGCCATGATTCTTTGTTATATGTATTGCTTCAATGAAAATATGGTGTAATTAATAACGCTGACAAATAACAAGTGTTATTTAATGATGATGTAATTAAACTGTTGAAACATTCCTAATATCTTTTACAAGGTAGAATCAAAGTGGGTAGAATGAGCTGCACGCTTGCAATGTTTCATGCATTTTTTTCTTTTGTTGCAGAGTCAGTATCGACCTCAACAAGTACGAACGCGAAAGGTCTCATAAGATAGAGGCAAAACTAGAAGATGGTGCTGGCGTAGTAGTAATGTATGTTGCAGTTACCGCAATTGACATTCCTGGCTGCGAGTCTGACCTAAACTCCTATATCGAACAACCAAACAGACGCGAAGAAATCGAAAAACAGTACAGTCTCAAGAAAACTGGAAAGAACATAAAAGATATCGGGTGGTTGCAAGTGAAACTACATCGTGCTGTCGGTTTGGCTGCTGCGGACATTGGTGGAACCAGTGATCCGTTTGCTATCATTGAATTGAACAACGCTCGCCTTGTTACTCCAACTATTTTCAAATCTTTAAATCCGCAGTGGGAAAAAGTTTATGAGTTGTAAGTTGACATAAAAAGTTATGCGATATTAAAAATAATCATTCGTTTTGAAAGGATTCTAATAAAATTATTAAAAAAAGTTGACTAAGATAGAGGGTGATTGAGCTACAATTTAATGCGGAAGCTGGAAACACAGCAGCCTTTATATTTTACGTTATATTAAAAATTCATTGTCAACCACAATGATACGCGCGCCTCTTTTTTGTTTATATTCGTGCTAAACATAATAATTTGTTCCAACACACGATGATCTTTCTCTTAGACTCTTCGCAAAACGTCGACACTCGACAAAGTTAAAAGTGTGTAATTCCAAATACGAAGTATTAATTTGAATACCAAGTTTGGTTGTCCTTTTTTAGGCATGTTTTTAACTGTTCACCTTTCCTTAGTTTTGAATAGTAATTTGTCCACTCAAACACATATGTTTATGAAAAATATGACTAGCAAGCTACTAAAATTATTTTTTTATTCAGAAACGACACAATTTTTTTACATGCACATAAGATGGATAGAATATCCACTGATTACAAACTGATACAACGTTTGTCTATTTATTCAACCAAGAAAATGGATGGAAGATCATTTTAGCGCGCCTTGTATTGTGGTTCACAATGATCTTTAAGTAAAACATAAGATCGCCTATAAAACTTCCCATGGAAATGCGAGAATTTAATTATGGTCAGTCGTGTCAATCATGCTGCTTGCATGTCATCTAAAATTTTTGATGGTTAGAAAATTTGATATAACTTTCTGATATGAAGAAAATTTGTTTAATATTAGAGTCAATAAATGCATATTAATGAGTATGTTTAAAAAAATTTTCACAGTAAATTTTTCGACCAGAAAAACTATAATCAATAGTTACATAAACAAGCATGCAATCATTGCTATGAAAAATCGATCACAAGTTTAGCAGATCTTTTTCTGAGAAATTTAGTTTCTAAGGTACTTTACAGGCTCAAATCTTATGCAGTTGTTCTAAAAGTTCACCCACACTCACACTTGCTGAGTGCGACACAAAAACCTTGCTCTATTTAATGAATGTCAGTTAAATTGTTGGAAAAATTATGAGATGATTTGAAGATTCATTTAGTGAGTGATAAATGTGAGTGAGCTTTAAGAACACGGGTGTTAGACTCGAACTTATAAGAAACATTTGAACTAAGTGGATGTACTAGAGAGGATAGATTGAATCTTGTTTCATTTTGACGGCGCATAATTGCTTTTTGCAGCAATGTAAAAGACATTCATGATATGTTAGAGATTGGTGTGTTCGACGAAGACAAGCGTGGATCACCCGATTTGCTTGGAAAAGTTGCTATTCCCTTGTTACAGGTATACATAAATCCTATATTGGCTTGAAAATGTTTCTCCAATCAGATTACATCGGTAGCGATTTTGATATCAAAGGAATTAATAACGTAGAAGCTGTGGTTTTATTTGATTATCTTTCTTATTTGATTCACTTCATTGATGGGCAAGTTCTAATATAGATTGGAAATCTTTAATTCAAATGACGATTAGTTCTATGAATTGCAAATGACGAGTGTTTTATGAAGTCGAATTGCAAATGACGATTAGTTATATGAAATGCAAATCAAGATTAGTTATATGAATTGCAAATCAAGATTAGTTTTATGAAGTCGTTTATGAGATGACTTGAGATTAAAAATTTGGAGAAACGTGTTAAAAATTCTGGGGTGATTGAAAATAGATTTTTGTGTTTGTCACTAAGTAGAAAGATAAAGCAAACAAAACCGGTTTAGGTTATGCTTTTTTGCCAAAGCTTGCAATGTATAGATCTTTACAGGCAAGTGCGTCTTGAAACAAGAATAAATAAATTGCATTTCAGTGAAACAACGACACGTCTATACATAAATATTTTCAAAAAACATCAGAAACTCCCACGGTTGTGTTAAAGGTTATCATGAGAATATAGCTTGTGCTATGTGGAATTACTCTTAAGTAGTACAAAATTAACTTTGAGCGGCATTTAATTTCTGATTAAACCTTTATCACTCTTTGTAAACAATTATTTCTTTCTTTCAGATAACTCCCCGTGAAAAGCGCATGTACCAGTTGAAGGACAAGACCCTTGAGAAGCGAGTTAAAGGTCATTTAATTATGACATTAGATGTCATCTATAATCCAATCAAGGCTGCTATCAGAACAATAAATCCTCGCGAACCCAAAGTTTTGTACGAACCCCCGAAGTTCAAAAGACAGGTTGGTATTACAATATCTGACCACTTGTATTACGATATCTGTCTGAGATCCGGAATTATATGGCCAAATACTTAAGCAAAGGGTTGTTTTACTTTGTTCTTTTTTGTTTTGTTCTATTTTAAGAAGGAAATCATCAGTCAATTTTTTTATTGGAATAATCTATTTTAAGTGAATTTTGACTTTTCCAAAGTAAAATGAATAGCACAGTTTTGATTGTTTACTTTGGCGCCATTCGTGAATCTAATAGGACGTATTCTGTAACTAGTTATCGTGCAGTTCCGCTGCCATCGGTCGGGCACTGAGTTAAATTTTGATAAATCTATACATTTTTAAATAATGAATAAAAATTTGCTATCAAATCTCTACCAATGTAACAGAGCAGACTAGTTGCTCTATTTGTAATTTAAGTTATGAACTAATCATGTCCAACTTATAGCTCTTATACATGGAAAATATACATTGAGATGTCAATTTTGTGAGTAGAGTTTTCCAAGATCTTTATTCTTCTCTAAAACCTATCAGTATTGGCTCAAAACACGAATGAAAAATTAATATAATTCTGGAATGTTTTCTCCCATGAAGGTTGTCAATAACACTTCTAAAAAGATGTTTCTGTGGTAAATTTTAAAAGGATAATCCAATGGCAACATTTAACTAAACCTGACAAAATCCAACATTAGAAAGCTGCACAACTTCAAAACAGACTAAAAAGGCTAATTAAATAGGAACAGGACAGGAAAGTAAATCTTGCTGCAGAGTTTTGCTAGGTTCGATGTTCTTTGCTCGGCCTATAGCTGCACAATCCAATAAGACTGTTGCCTTTGGCAAAAATAATAATAAATACGTTATTCGCCGTTTACGTCGTTCCGGATAGAAAAGTATTTCGATTCGGTCTTAAAAACGTCCTTCAGTTTCCGGCCTAGGGCTCTTTTTAAGACATCGGAAAAATATGTTTCTGTCGGTACCTACCAGCCAGTAAATATCATATATTTCTTACTGAGCCTTATTTCAAATGCTGTAGAACCCAAATAACTCGAATTTTTAAGGAAAACCGAAAATATTCGAGCTAGTAGGTGAGTGAGTTAGCGGTGTTGGTGTCAAATATCGTGTGTTAACTAATTAATGAATCCGTGCTTTTTATACAATTACAAGCTGCATATGCTAAATCAGTACTGTATTAGGCTATTAGTTGTAACCCAAATTTTTAATTGTTTTTCCAATGCCATGAATGTACAAATTGGTTCATTCCATGTTGCATAAATCTAGTTAACAGTTTGACGGCATTAAAGGATTAAATGTTTAACTGGTAGTATTTCGCGATAAGAGTTTCAAATATCCTAAGAAAATTGACCAACGGAAAACGATATTTGTCTGCTTATAATTTACATGTTTTTTCTTTAACTATAACTATAACGGATTGTAACATGCCATATGAATATTACCCCAATTATCGATACTGGCTTCGCCTCAGGAGACGTCCTTGTGATTTTAACGATATGTACGAAGAATTGATCTTTTCATACGACGCATACTTTTTATTTTGACAGCTGCTTCAAAGAAATATTGATCGAATTGGAAAAATTGGTGCTAGTGTTGCTTCCACGGGAGCTTTTGTCGCCTCGCTCTTTACGTGGCAGTATAAATTTCGAAGTGCATTTGCTTTCCTTGTGTATATCATGTTGGTGTTAAACTTCAGTGTTTATCTATTCACTCTTGGCATTCTCCTCGCTTTTCTTAAGCAGTACGTCGTCCATGTGCTTCTTTCTGAAAGAAATGTTAGTCCAGAGGATCAGGTATGTAAAATGTGTTTACAACATAATCATGTATAATTCACCGTCCATATTTGATTGGTGGATTGATTGATTGAGAGTTTATACAGGTGTAAGTATTACTTCTAAAACTGTGGGACTTAGCGGCAACATTTGGGTGACTTAAAAACAAATTGTCATTTACAGGTATCTAGCAATGTAGTATTATTCAAGATCTGTATATATAATGTTTCAACACGTGCATGATGCTTCGTGCGTTGCAAAAAATCTGCGATTGAATTTGTCTAAACTATAACGCATTGGTTTTATTGTTATTGTTTATTGTATTGCTAATTTTGTTCTAGAATAAGATATTTCACTAAGGTTTCTCATCAAAAGTTATAGCCAAGATACTTTTCAAAAGTTTATAATTTTTCCCTTTAAAGTCTTCTATGATTGTTGCAGTGAGGTTAGACCAGTGAGTCAAGAAAAGAGTGTTAAACACTCGCCGAATCTCTTAGTTCCCGCGTATTTGAATCTAGTCATCCAAACACGGAATTCATTAAGAGTAAAGGCTTAGTCAAACTACGGTGTTAGAATGGCTGCATCCAGTAATTAAGTAAATGGTTTGAACCCAGTGCTATCGTTACATGTTTGTAGATGTAGATCGTCCAGGTTAGTATAGTTTGTATAGACTGACGTTTCGACAACCGCTAAGGTTCTTTTGAACGACAGGGGAATTTGAAACGACATCTTACGATCAATTGGACGACAGAGCGAACAATTTGCTAACGATTACATACGTTTTGCAAGCAACGTCAGACACATACGCCAACAACTCTGGTTCAACCACCGCTACAAGGACACAATACAATGACCTAAGAACCAGATAACAAATACGGCTAACCTGACGTTTACTCCTCATTTGACTCTAAAGATGGCTACCGCTAAGGTTGTCGAAACGAGGACTGTTTTTGTTGTTGTTGACTGACGTTTCGACAACCTTAGCGTTAGTCATCTTCATAGTCAAAAGTCAAGAGTCATTTGACTCTGAAGATGACTACCGCTAAGGTTGTCGAAACGTCAGTCAACAACAACAAAAACAGTCCTTCTCACGACTATACCAACCTGGACGATCTACATTTACAAACATGTAATAATTGTTGGTGATAATTGATGTGTTGAACTTGTGCTGGTTGGCAACAAACTGAAAAAAATACAGAAAATATCCTTTAAGCTCCAGTTGACATGATTTAATTGGTTATTGTATTAATTAATATACGTACTTCTCACAATGAATTTCAGTTTAGCATTTTTCGAAACGCCCAAGATCGATACTAAGCATTTTTGAAACACATTTTATTTTCCATGTTTAGGAGCCATTTTTCTGAGAAACTTTGCACTATCCTTGGATCCTTAGTCTTTTCTTATAATGTTAACGTATTGCAGAACCAACATTATATATACTTAGTTTCTATTCTTATTTCTACATAGTTTCTTAAAAGTTTGACTTCAATTTGCTGCGTTTATTTAACGCGTAATCTGCTATCGGCTTCAACGTTCAGGAATAGTTTATCAGATGTACTCTTAAAAAGTAGATTGTGGTATTAAAAGATATTGTTTTTTGGATTTAATTTTGTTGGTTTAGTGCAGTAAATTATTTGTTTTGTTTTTTTGTTGAATGAGTACTTGTAAATGTTGCCGCTAAGGCTTTTTTTCCAAACAACTTTCTGTTATTAAGGAAGGACCTCCTCAAGATGAAGATGACGACGATGATGACGATGATGAAGATATGAAAAAGAAAGGAGTAGGTTTTTCTTGTCACAACAATAGTTTTGGTGAATTGCTGTAGAAATCTGGTTGCTCGTGAATTGCTTGATTTTTTTTTCAAATGCTTTTTCTGATTTCTCTAATAACAGATCATCACTTTATGTTTATCATTGACTGTAAAGCTTTGATTTCACATCGAGTACAAGTTAGAGATAGACGTAGCTACATCTTTGCTTTGTTGGGCTTTGTTTTCTTTGCAAGTCTGAAAATTATTTCAAAACTTTTCTAATTTTGCATTTTTTTAAGCTTATCAAATTGTTTCTGTTTTAGTTAAGTCAAGTGTGTGTATAAGTGGGTTTTATAAAAATGCAAATCACACATTTACAAAGATGTGGCTTTTCTGAGAAAAAATACCAACTCATTTAAAAAGCTTTTTTTCATCACGTACAATTGTGTTTTTGATGCCAAGCGCCATAAATATTTCGTTTTCAACGTAGCATCATTATTTTGGGGAAAGGCATCCATTTTAGAACGAGAGAATAAGGCATGTCATATTTAAAATGTTCTTTCTGCTGCTGTATACAGACACTCCCGTCTCAAATGTGGCGAGCTCCTTGTTACTCATCTCGTTGCACCAACAAATTAAACATGTTTTGAGTTTTGTCTAGGATAAGGGGAAGAGTTTTAAAGAAAAGATGGCAATGATAACAAGTTTGTGTCAGACAATTCAAAACGCCTTAGACAACGTCGCTTCACTATTGGAAAGAGTAAAAAAGTAAGAATTTCACGCTACTTAACGCTACTTTAATTTTTACATTTACGATATTCGTTTCAGCTTGGAAGCTTGTTTCATTTAGGCAGTAGGCAAGTACGTCTATATATGACTATAGGCTTGTTACACTGATCTTATTTTGTAGCTTGTTCAATTGGACCGTTCCATTTGTTTCAACGATAGTTTGCGTTGCGATGACTGGAGCAACTGTCCTATTGTACTTCGTACCTATCAAGTTCGTTTTACTTGCGTATGGTGAGTTTTGCTTTCAAATGTTGTATTGGTGGCATCATATTAGCCCGCATATAGAGGGATTTGAATCTCGTGTCGATCAAAAATTTAAAGCAAAATTTGTTCGAAATTGCTTTGGTTACAATAGTATATGCAATGGTATTTATGTTTGTCATATGACAAACTGAGGTCTTTGTAAGACATCGATGTGCATCCTCATTTGCCGTTTAGCAGCTCAAATTGTATATGATTCTGTTAATCCGTAGCTAAATACGTTTCTCTACTTCGCTATAAAGTTTATTGCTGCACATGATCTTCCAGTATTTATGAACAAACAGTATTATTAATTACCAACAGTCAAAGCTGTTATCCCCTACTGTTTCTTTCGTGGAAAGTATGGCACGTGTATCGCTTGAGCGTAAGACTATTAAAAATTCAACTTTGATATATTATTGGTCAGCGTCTGGCTTTGAGGGGAAAAGCGCGCGTTTTTTCCCATAATATTTTAAAATAGTATTTTTTATTTTTTTTTAATTCATATATTATTTTGGGAAAGTGCATATTTGGTTTGTTTACATAGTTGTAAGTTCAGTGTTTTTTTGTTTACAATTGAAGTGTATTGTAAAAACTAATTGACCATAACCGCATTAAACAAATTTGTTTAATTTAACTACCACCGACTACCCTTTTTCAAATGTGGTCTCTGCTAAACAGGACACAGTATTTCCATTCGTCTCAGTCAATAAGTATTATCTTTTCCCTTGGTCTCAGGCAATAAAAGTTAATTATTTGTCCTTTTTATTAAAAGTATCAACAACAGCGATAAAAAGTCGAACGTGCAAGCTGTTGTCTCACAATTTTTTCAGGGATTAACAAATTCACGAAGAAAATACGAAAGCCGAACGCGGTGGATAATAACGAACTATTGGATCTTTTGTCAAGACTGCCTTCTGATCCACAAATTGTATGTATGGTATATTTTCTCAATACTCATAGCATTTATTATGAGTTCTCAATGTTTTCTAGACTACATGTTATATTAAGCTATTAATATATTTTAATGTTATAGAAGGAGCAAAAGCTTTTGAAGACCGACCCAGCTTTGCGTCTAAAGCGTCTAGATCCTTAATTAATCTCATTGATCTTACAAAAATGCAAAATTTCAACAAAGCTCAACAATTTTGTGGAAGCATCTACTTATGGAAACAACTTGTCTATTTACTGTAGCAAGTAACAAGTGTGTAAAGATTGGTCATGCGTGCGTTTTTAACACGGAAGTAAAATGAAAAAGCTTCTCCTTAAACATAAATTTCAGAATCGCACTATCAATAAATGTTCACAAAAGCGACAGCTTTCAAAAACCGTTTTTTAAATTTTGATTTTTCCATTTCCAAGCTCAAAATTTGACATTATGTTATCTCATACAATTTAACCAACAATTGGCATTTGGTGATTGAAGGGATTTCTCTATACACTTTCTTTCACGACGTAACAACCTGGTTTGCTGTAAGTTAAGTGTTGTACTTTTTCGAATTTTTTGCTAACTTTATTTTGAGATTTATGTTGGAAGGAAGATAGAGATCTTTGGCATAATTGTCATTGTGTATTGAAATTAGCAAATTTTATTTAGTATTGGAGTTATTTAATTGCTGTCATGTATTGCATAACATTGATTTATATGATTAGTTTTATTGTACGTATAGTGTAAATAACAGTAAAGATAGGGGATTAGATATATTTATTTGGTTATGGTATGCAATACTTTTTTCTCGCTTTTCATTTTACAAGCATACTAGCAAGTGGTGACTAAAGAGGCCTTTACAATCATGTATGTGATTGATTTTCCGAAATAAAAGTAACTGCTTGCAAATACATGATTTAAACATTCGCTTTCGAAGTTTTCATTTGAGCAATTAAAAAATTATAATGATGAACGATTTTAAGGATTTTATATATAACTGCTAGTAATTGTATTTTTGTGAAGCATGAATGTATGAGTTGATGAGTTGTTGGTGTATCGACAGGGAATTTTTTCCAAAATTTAGCAAATCGGAAACATTAACGGTGAAACTTTGCATTCTCGGACGATTTGATTGGCTGAAAAATTAAGTTGTTGTTGATATAGGAAATAGCATTGTTTTAAATGGAATTTGGAGAAAACATGCCTTACTAAGTTGTTTAGAGACTATCAAAAATTCTGTTGATTTTTAACTTAGTGTACGTAACTTTCAGCAGGCAAGTTATTAATATCGACATTCGTATTTTTCGATTCCGTCAGATATAGTTTTTCACAAGGCCACATTGCCATGGGTGGATTAAAAGTATGTCGAGTGAGTCGCAGAACATACATTTCAATTCCAAGAAAAGAAAATTAATTAACTGCAAATTGTTGAATATTTAATTTTTGCTTCATCACAAAGTTCAATTATGCAACCCTAAGTGAGTGCAACTCCAGTATTTTGCTCTTGCAAGCTCAGAAGTAGACTGCCTTTCTTTGAGGCAGCGGTAAACTCTGTGAAATTAGCAGATTCGGGTGATCTATTCTGGCATTTTTAATGGTCAAGACTTACTTCAAACTGCTTAAAAGCACTATTGATATTGTGCATTTAATAAAAGCAACATGTTTCAACATCTCATGATGCCATCTTCACTATTATAAGGAATATTATGTATGTGATGAATATATATGAGTAATATGATACTGTGATACAATTTATACACTTATGAATAGATTATTATATTACAATGAAATAGTGGTTAGAATTAATGATGAAAGTATTTACAGGCTGAATATAGTGTGAAAACGAAAAACTTGAACGTTGAGGTTAGGGTTAGTTTTGTTTATGTGAAGTGCTTCTTTGATTTTGAGTGCGAATGTAGTATTTGCAGTGTCAATGATTTTAAAGCAAGAGGGAGCAAGAGTTTTGCATGAAGGTGATTTTAAAAAGTGTCGAAAGATATGTGAGATTTTTTCAGTTGTGGTGTGTTTCCTGATTCTGGTGATTAAGTGACGGGAAGTTTCGCCAATTTATCGTGAATTACATCCCGCACAATCGAATCGGTATACCACCATAGATTTAATAGAATCAGGGATAGGATCCTTGAATGAGAAGTAGTTTTTGATTTTGAAGGAAGTGAAAATTAGTCGGATGTTAATGTCAGTGCAGAAGTGTTTCATGATGTTTGTAAGTCTGCGTAGTGTGTGTCGCAAATGATGTCCGATGTACGGTTGTTTAAAGTAAAGAGTTTTTATGGACTGTTCTTTGCTGTTGGTTGTGGTTGTTTGTCGGATGTTTTAATGTTTGCTTTGCTGATAGTCTTAGTTTTGTCATGGAGATATCGTTTGACAGTTTTGTTGATGAAGTGTAGTGGGAAAGAGTTGCCTAATAAAATAGATGTGATATTCTTTAGGTCTTGTTGAAAGCCATTGTCTGTGTTGTTAATTTTGTATGCTCTGTCTATAACTGTGCGTATTAATCCAGTCTTGTAAGAAAGTTGTTTGAAACTGAAGTAGTTCGTCAATAGTTCCGTGTAGGTTGGTTTATGATACGTCGACGTTGTATAGGTGTCATGTGATTTTATTAATAAAGTGTCTAGAAAAGGTAGTTGGTTTTGTTTTTCAGTTTCGAAAGAAAATTTAAAGTTCGTGTGTTGTTTTGTTGATGTAGTTAAAAAAGTTCATAGCCTCAGTCTCGTTTGTAAAAACACAAAAATATTCGCCAACGTATCTGCGGTAGAAAAATGGTTTTGTGTCGTTGTAGTTAGTAATTCAGTTTTGTTCATGTGAACCCATACAAATGTTTGCAAGTATAGGTGCTAGGGGAGAACCCATTGCAACACCGTCGGTCTGGTCGTAAAATTTTCCATCAATTAAAAAATGTGTTTGTGCCGTTGCTATTAAAAACAGTTGTTTTAGGTGTATCTTGGTCATGGTGAACTTAGGTTGTCGGTGAAAATAGCGTCAATGGCTAGATCAATCGTTTCAGTAAGCGGTATGTTAGTGAATAAGATTTAAACATAGAAGGAGATGAAGAATTTTTGACATGAAGATGATAAGTTGAAAGATAAGAATTTGTTTAGGAAAGTGGAAGAATATTTAGTGGAGTGGTCATGTGCTATAAGTGGTGTTAGTATGAAACTGAGATACTTAGCTAGATTATAATTGTAAGCGTTCGTTGATGAGATTATTGGTCGTAGTGGAGGCGGTTGTCCAACTTTACGTTTCTTGTGTAACTTGGGTAAACCATAAAAACGCGATGGTTGAGAGCCTTTTGGGAAAATGTCGTTGTATATTTCGATGTCAATTGAACCCTTCTTTCTCAATTTTCTTAGCAGTCGTTGTAATTTAGCTTCTCGGGGGGTAGTGTAGGATCTTCATCAAGCGGTGTGAATTTTGGTGTGTTTATTATTTGAAGACAAGAATTTCGATGTGTTTGACGATCTAGGATTACAATGCCATTTCCTTATGATATATATAAGTGAGCAACGTGTGCAAATTCCGTTTTGAGATGTGTGTAGTCTTCTTGATTAAGAATATTATGTTTGTAGTTTAGTGGATTCTTTCAAATGTTGTCAGCTAAGTCTTAGTGGTTTGATACTGAAGCCTAGGCCAATTTAAACTCAAATTCCATTCTCATTAGTTTTATAAATTCGTTAATTTTCTCTGCATTTTCCTTTTCCATTTTTTCTATTTTCCCATTTATTAATGCCATTATTTTGTTAAATTACTTAAAAACTCTTGATTCTAGAGAAGATTCATTTTGACAATAGATACAATTTGTATACGGTGATTGTTTACATTTTTTAGAGCAGAAAGACCACGTGAATTAAAATCATTAAAACCATTAAAACCATTTAATCCACATCAAAATAATCCCCCATTATTTTTGGAAAGACCACGGGTATTATTCATGATATATTATTCTAATTTGAATGTTTGATTTTCTATGTTTCTTTATTCATTGACAATATGCTTTGCTTCCTCTAAAATGATATTAAGTATTTATATATTACATTTTAGTTAATAAATAGAAAAAATTGACATTTCTTATCTTTCTTATATTAAAAAAAATTCCTATTTCCTACCTATTTTTTAAACATTCCCTCTATTCTTTCTTTACCCATCATGTCTTGTAAATCTTTATACTCTTCTATTTTCTCTAGAATTTCCTTTTGAAATTTGTTATTCAATATTTTGTTTAAATTGGTTATATTTTCTTCAAATTCTAATATGGTTCTTTTCGTCGATAATACTCAGGGGCTACAGTACGATTTGTACATTTGCAACAAAAGTGAAATTTGATAGTTTATATAAGTTACAATCTTTTTGATATGTATCATTAAATCTTGCTGTATCTTGAAAACCTAAAAAAACTCTTGATGGTACGCCGCCTGTGAATACATCTTAACAGTCAATTGCTTGGATCCAATAGGAAGGGTTTTTGCAATAACTTTCATGTATTAGTATATTATTTATTGTTTTTTCCTTAAATTTTTTTTATCAATTTTTTCTTCAAATTCGAAAATTTTTTCTTCAATTTTTTTAATAACTTTTTTAATTATTTTGTCAAAACATTAATAAAGATTTCTACTATAGAAATCCCCTTACGTTTCATCTGAATGTAAAATCTTGAAAAATTGAAAGGCATCAATTTCTTTTAAATTTTTTTTTCTTTTTTATTATCTTTATTTGGTGACAGCATGCCTTTACATGGGTTAGAAGAAACAATGGGGTCTTTTTGCCATTAATAATGGTAAAATCTTCAATGAACGATTTAGACGTGCTATTAATGTATTATAATATAATTGATGATGGTAAGGTCTTCAAATCAAAGTATTATTTTTATATTTAAGCGCGATGAAGATTTTGACGAAGAAAAAATTTAAGTCAATTTATTATGAAATCAGAGTATATAGCCAATTTTATTCATATTGGTGGATGATTATTTTCAATAAAGAGATTAAAGATGAAAGAGAATTTAATTTCAATTTATTGTGATAAAGGGATGATATTCAGCAATAAAAATAGTATTGACATATAGAAAAAATGGGTGAATATTTTAATTATCATGATGAAAAAAATAATATACATTTTACACAATTGGATTTAATAAACGCACTTTATAAAAATATTATTCAAAATATGTAATAGTAACCATATGATATGTATATATAAATAAAAATGCAGTACGTATGTATCAAATTTGAAGTCTTGGTGATATTTAAGTGTTAATTGAATAATAACTTCTTTTGCTGGTAATAATGGCATATTGGCGCAGTAGAACTATTTTATTCATAACTGATGATGGTGAAATTTTGGAAAAAGTCTTGCTGTCTTCAGATGTAATTTTAAGATGGAAAAAGTATTGTAGAGTTTTTGAATTTATTGATGAATGTGAAGAAAACATTGTAGAGATTATACTTCATCCAAATAAAAAGAAATATGTGTTGAAAGAAAAATGTCTTATTGCTCCGAAAGTAAATATATATTAGAACAAAAATCTCATATTGAAGCATTTATTAAAGTATTAAATAATTATTTGGATGTAAATGATAATAAACATCAACAATTTGAAGAAATTAAATTCCTTATGAAACAGTAACGTTGAAAAAATAATATTTTACTTACCCAAATATTTTCAACATATATATGTATAACTTACCTTTTTCATGTAAAAACAGATTGATGTAAAAAATTTCTAGGATAAAGAAGTATCAATGTATGTCTACAAAATGTAAGCAATATAAAAAACATTGTTATTTTTATTTTAAATGTTATGAAAAGAATTATCCATGTATTTCTGTCATAACAAAAATCGTTTTTGCAATAAAGTCAATCCAAAAGATATTTCCTGGATAACGTGTAATTTT